TGGGTGTTTTCTTAACAGCACAAGGAAGACTTGCTCCCCTTTTCTATCACAGAATCGTTTGAGTGAAGTAATGGGCAAAGGATTAAAAAAGCAATTTTTGTGTTGTGACATGTGAAAATAAAATTGTGAACTCTTAGTTAAAAAAAATGTACATATGAAAATTTTCCCGTTACTGTATGTTATTGCTGTACATATGCTCTACAACAAAACTTTTAAAATACATACAGATGATGGAGTTATACTCCAGATCTCTCTCAGGCTCTTGCCTCTCCTCAGCTTTTATTGGTTTTTCTATGTGGGCTCCGTAGGGTCCTGGGAAAACCACTAGTTACAGTTCCCACCAATCAAAATCTTATTGCAAGAATCTCGGTCTGCAGCCTTGACCTACCAGGTCAGCCCCAGGAGCACCGCTCTCCCAAGGTGGGTAGGCACACTGTGATCTCCCTGAGGTGCAGGGGTGCCCTTTGCTACCGGAGCAGTGCCTGCAGTGGTCTCAGTGGTGTTACTAGTGTCCTGGATCGCCTCAGGAGCTTCTCTATTGGCTGGGAAGTCTTCTCCAGGGGCAGGGGCACCGCCTCCACATGCTGGGGTGTCCTGTGCAACGGGCACAGCTTCACCACCAACAACTTGTTTATTGTACTTTCTCCCAACAAACATAAATGGCTGTGCATATGAACTTTGATAGAACACACAGAAATCACACTGACTGAGGAAACAGTGAAGATCAGCATCACAATGGCCAGAGCTGATGAAGGAAAAAAATCACCAGTTAAATGCATGAGAACAAAATTATGACCTAAACGATTTAGTTTTGCCATCAAGTGGCTTGCAACTCATACAGCAACACCTTGTGTGTACATACAGCGGTTCTGAACTCTGCTCTATCCTGAGCCAGTCTCACTTATCCCCATTGCCACAGTCAATGAGTCAATCAATCTCTTCCAGGGCCTCTTGCACTGTTGCTCCACCTTTCCAAACATGATGTCCTTCTCTATGGACTGATCTCTCCTTGCAACATGTCCAAATTATGTGAGACAGAGCTTCAGAATCCTTGCCTCCAAGGAGCAGCCTGATTTCACCCTCTCCAGGATAAACCTATTCTCTTGGCAGTCCATAGTATGTTTGAGACTCTTCTCCAGCACCACAACTCAAAGAATATATCCCACGTGAATTTAGAAACCTTCTCAAGAATATGGTACATGCATAAAGGTTATTTAAAAGAAGAAAGAAGACAAAAATAGATGTTAGGAAAGGCTCAGAAACTCCCTCTTCAGTGTGGACAGGCTAAAGGAAAAGGCAGGAATTCTAAAACAGCAGAGAAGTTTAACAGTGAATTTTTTTTTGTTGTTAACAAATAATCCTTTATTGAAATATTTTCATCTGTAGTTCCTTAGCTAGCTGGGCATTCCACAGCACCACTGTTGATGTCTTCTGTGATGTCAGGAGGGTGACGGCCATCAACATTGCAGCCCACAGATTGGGCAGTTCCCAGGATCTCTTTAATAGTTCCAGAGAGTTCTCTGGCTAAAG